CACTCGCCGAAGCGGCTCGTGCAATTTCAGTTTTTCGAAAAACTCACTCGTGCAAATTAATTCCAAATTGAACTCGAAACCGTATGATTACCTATACTAATTGGATATAAATATTCGATGAAGGTTTTTTTTGGTTAAATTTGTAATGATTACAGTCTGCCAAGGTTTCAAAAACTGTTTGAAGCCTCGGCTTTAATCGATTTTGATGACTTGCATTACACCGACCTGGATTGTTTCTGATAAAAAATTGAATCTCTTTAGATGTAGTATTTATAATTGTTTGACGAAAAAGAAAATTGAATAATTTTTTTTTGGCCCTGTTAGGATAGCACTAAACAGTTAGATCAGTGCCCTAAAGTTATATAAACGAAAACAACGAAGACGTCAGTCCTGTAATACCTTCCTTTAGATAATACAAAATAAAAACAAAGGATCCCGGATAACTTTGGACAAATCTGTAAAACTTTGGAACTTACTTTGAAAATGAGAATATACTTGACTAGTTTGTATGAGTGTTGAAAGAAAAAAACGTAAGTTCGTGGCGTGAATTAGTTAAGAAGTTTAGCTCTCGCGAAATGAAGATAGATATATTGAACGAAAGCTTTGATCAACTCATATTGTTCACGTTTTATTAAAGCCTTGTAAATTAATAAAAAATAAATATGTGACATAATTTTGGTTTTATTGTGTTGTGAAAGAGGAAAACACAGACCTTTTTTAGCCTTTTTTGTTGGAGTTAGGCCCAAAAAATCGACAGCAGCAGAAGATGAATTCTTTTCACGTGGACCAACTTCCCGTACCAACTCACTATCACACCTTGTACCAACACAAGTTAGAATATCCACTACACAGAACGCATTTGGTCTTCTGGTCACCATACATAGTATTTACTGAGGAACAGGATTTTTTCTATCCAAGAAAACATAATATATAATGGGGTGGGGATTACAAGAGAGGCAAGGAGAGGGAGGGGGGTTCCCAATATGCACTGCCGGGGAGGCTAGTCCTACCTTTCAGGGTGCTTGACAAATTCGCTCGTTAGTGATCAACTTTTACCTTTGCATGGCAGTTAGCTACTTCATTAGCTCAACTGAGTTTATTTTAGAATCCAAATAAACTTCCAACAAAACCAAGAAATACATGAAATCCTTGGAAATTAAACGCGAAGGAGTGTTGGAGGTGTTCGTAGTCGCCAGTGGTGTAAAACGGAGGCAAACCTTCAATCCCGGACAAAATGTCGGCACACCAAGAAAATTGCTCCCCTCCATCCCACTCACAATGAACATTTCAATTCCTTATTTTTTTTTCTCTTTTGCAAATAAACAACAACACGACATTTTCTAACATTAATTAGGGAGGATCGGGATACGTAGATCCAACTCAAGTGTCCCAGCTGCTTTTGTCTGGATCGGAGGGAGGTAGGCTAATCCTTCAACGTGAAGGAATAAATGTCACAATTTAGGCGGTGGTGTACAATGTAGTTAAATAAAGAAAATCAAGTCGATGTTGAGCGATCTTATTTGTTTCACATGTAGGTTTCCTTTTTGTCTTTCAATCAAGGGCACGAGGCGTACGGAGACTTGGTGTCACGCCAAACCAATGTTGCGGTTAGAAGTAATTCAACCTGTCGCGTGACAATAACTTATTTCTTTTTGGATCGGAAAATATTAACCTGGAAAGCACATGCAGGCTTTATGTGATGCACACGGAATAATATTCGCCTGAAGGAAGCTTAATGTAGAACTGTCCATTTCTAACTGTCAATTCGTATTCATGGAAAACCGTCCCGAAGCCCAAGTTCGTTGTGATGTATCTACATGGAAATGTTCGACATACCTTTAAAGGTCTTCAATAAACTATGCTCTAATTGAAATTTCAAGCTTTTTACATCGCATTAGATTCTTAAAGGTGATTAGAACATCTTAATTTCTTAACACGCCAACTGACACATGTTCAAGCGCACGCACGAATCGCTAATTATCATGCAAAACAAACAGCTCAGCAGAACGTGTTGTTGTGATCAGTTCATCATGCATATTCATACATGGTTGGGTTATATACTGTTGAGTCGTATAATTTTTACTCATACGTGTTAACGTTGTTGAATCATGGCGGAGACAGAATTACTCTTTCCTAAGCTGGTTGTCCTCGGCGCATCAGGAAAAACTGGACATCAAGTGGTGCAACAGGCTCTCAAAAAAGGTCACTCTGTCACAGCTGTTGTAAGAAGCCCAGAGAAATTTTATATCAAGTAGGTGCCTTGTTTCGTAGGACTTCGTTTGTACCTATGGCCTACCTGTGTTATTTCTACTTAAAAAGCGCAATGTTTTTTTCCCTCATCCGTTTCTCGACACCTCCATTTCTGCTTAAGTGTAACGTTTTACTGGCAATATCCAAAGGGACGTGTTGCTCTATATCGTGATATTTGGAGATAGAAGTGGCAGTGTGTACATTTATTCACGTTGTAAGGGTTCGTAACAATTGCAAATACTGCATATTAATTGCCAGCCGAAATGCAGTTCAATGCAAGCCAAGGTGTCCTTAACTGTTAAAGAAGTGTTCGTAAGAATTTTCAAACCACAATTCCCAGTTTAAACTGTTATCTGTTAGTTTTCGAGTCAATAGCAACGAAAAGTGCAACTCACAACGCAAATCAGCAGAAATAAGGTATTGCAAAGTAGAGTCGTTTGCATACGTCAAGGCTATTTTAAGCCGGTTTCGTCAAAGGAAGGTAAACAAATAGTGCTATTGTTATTCAATGCAATACGTGAATTTAACCTTTCTTATGACGCTGCATTGCTACATATACCTAAACGACGTAATGCTCCAAAATAAGAGACTATTTCGTTGCTTTATGTTTATTTGCGACATTGTTCATAGTGTGAATTTAATCAAGTTATTAAAAACGCTAACAAAAAACAATTGTATCTAACCTAAAAAATATATAGAAATACTGAATTTGCGGCTGCTGTTCATGAATATTTTTAAGGTAGCAGAAGAGCTGCCGATAATTCGGGATGTATTCCAATGGCTCAGCGAAAAGGTATTTGGTTAACCCCAATGTCTCTAGACTACGAGTAGTCCCTCTTTCGCTCAGTCCGTCGTGCTTGACGCGAAAGAAAACCGCGAGAATAAAATGACCGCGCGAATTCCTGGGGGCGAGGAGTGCACGAAAGGATTTAGCGCGGCCATTTTTTTCTCGCGGTTTTCTTTCGCGTCACGCACGACGCACTAAGCGAAAGAGGGACTACTCGTAGTCTACAGTGTCTCAATGATTTTTGCTTTCACAGGGATACAAATCTTAACGTAGTTCAGGGAGATGTGTTTGATCCAGAGTCCTTAGTTCAAGTTCTTGAAGGCAAGAATGCTGTGCTTTCATGTCTGGGATTTCAAAATGGAACATTCTTCACACCAACAACTCTTTACTCCAAGTCAATGACATCCATAACAACAGCAATGGAAAAGTAATTAAATTTCTTATCATAGGTTTGAGTTTGATGTTTTCATATTAGCTCTCTTATTAAACAATTCACGTTATACTGGCCCGAACAAACGCTCAGTCAGTCATTTCCTTATTTGAAGAACCCCTTTAAAACGCCCAGCCGGTTCATACGGCCAGTTTCTTCTGGCTCGTCGGTTGCCAGATAAACGGGTTTCCACTTAGACTACGAGTAGTCCCTCTTTCGCTTAGTCCGTCGTGCTTGACGCGAAAGAAAACCGCGAAAAAAAAATGACCGCGCGAAATCCTGGGGGCGAGGAGTGCGCGATTCCAACGCTTCAATTTGCTCTGGTACCGCTTCGATTTGCTCCGGTTCCAAAACATTCCTGCAAGACGTCACACGTATCTCGAATGCTGACAAGACGTTGTCAACGCTCCTAACAAAAGCCAATCATATTTTTNAGCGAAAGAGGGACTACTCTTAGTCTAGTGTCCACTGTACTTCTAGGTGAGGAGAGGCACTATGAAAGCTGAGGCGGTCGGCAAAGTATTTCTTTTCATCCCGACTTTAACTAGATAAACCGGACTGACTAAAGAAAAATGCATCGTTTTGAGATTGGTAATTAATAGAATCCAATGCATGAGATGGTGGTAATGACAAGAGTTTAATGTCGCACCGTTTCTGCACGTTGCGAAAAATCATCTCACTCTTGTTGTTCGGTTTGGTTTCCACTAGGTCAGGCGTGGAGAGGCTTCTTTGCCTTACTGGTGTTTATACTCAGAAAGATCCGTCAAATCCCATATGGATGGACTGGCTAGTACGACCATTAGCACGATCGTTTATGCCCGATATGGCACTAATGGAGAACATCGTTATGAAGTCCAACCTTTGTTACACTATTGTGAGACCTCCTTGCTTGTCTGAAGGTACCAGACAATTGTAGTTGCAGCGATGTTAACAATTATTCTTCTACATTGCTTGGCGTATCGCCTGATTGGGGTGTAAGTGAAAGGAGGAGGGGGGTGGGGTGACATTTTAAATCCCAGCGATACTTCATACAGACGGTTTCTGTGACGTATACCGCATTGCTGGGTGAAGGAATCAACCATTAAAGAAGTAAAATTCTTCACCGCAAAAGTTACAACTGAAACGTATCTATAATGATTTTATTCAATGACGGCTTCACCATGTACTCATTATAGTCATTTTATTTTATTTCCTATTCGTCATTTACATTTGTTGAATGATTAACAAATTGCGGACTATCCAACCTAACAAGGCCGCAAAGCAACGTTATACAATTTTTCTCCTGAGATTAAATAAGTTAGAATTCGATTTGCATTACAAAGCTCTAAGTTAATGTGTGCCAATTTGCAGAACCCATAACCGCCAATTATCTGTTAGCTGAAGGACAGTCTGTGCCAGAGGGTTACGGAACAGTTCCACGAGCTGATGTGGCTCACTTTATGTTGGCATCATTGCAGACCAAAGAGTGGGCCAAGAAGGGCGTGGCAATTGATGCCAAGAAGAAACAGTGAATCAAGTCTTAATCTACGACATATTAATATTGAGTTATAATTTTACATGGTTGTTTTAGTAAGTAATTCAAAAAAGATGAATGTACACATCTTTACGAGACTATAATTTATAGTTATCTAGATATATTTCTTTTCGTTTCACTTAGGATACAATTTAACATGTATGTGAGGAAATAAGAGAAAATGTGAAGATATTATATTATGTCTAACACCAAGACTTGTGAACAATTTGAGGCTTTGAGAGAAAATGAATAATGTTTTCGTCTCCTGGTTGAGTTGTATCGGGTTGTCAAAACGATTTTGTATTACAGTGCCCAGAAAGAATCCCGAAACTCTTAGAGAAACGAAGAGTGGTTCGAAAATGCGGGAGTTCGGTTGGAACATTGGGGGAAGATGACAGTGAAACAAATCCAAGAGAAGCGACTTTTTGTTCGACTTATCGAGAAGTTTAAGAGATCGGGATTCCACGCGTATTACTACAATCATTGTTTTATTGTTATTTTCTGGGACACTGGAATCATAGACGCTGTTAATGAGAACATTTTTAAACTCTAACAGTTACATTATAAAGGACATACCAAGCTAAAGCTAGAGTAAATAATAAAAATATACCTATTCGATATGATTCGATGTGAGTGCTAACTTTCACTCTCGTTCGTTTGTTTCTCATCATTGATACTTTCGCGAACGTTTCTAAGAACGTGAAATGCGTTTTGGAGCACTCGCTCCAGCTACTTCGTTTTTCATTTTCCGAAATTCCTCTAGTGTTTCTTTGTCGATATAAGAACACGAAAATGTTCTGTATTTCTAAAGTCAAATACAAAACACCGCTCATTTGGTGTTGTATCGTGAGCTAAAAAAAATGTCTGTTAAGGAATATATTGGAAAATATACAATCCATTCCCTTTTGTCTTTAGTTGGTTGAAATATGCACGTTTATATTGTGGGTTAATTTAGGTTAATAGCCGTTAAGTTATTGATATTTAAGCAATAGAGCACTTTTTCGTGTTCACATAGCTTCCTGTAAACACGAGAAGGGTTGGGAGAATTCGAGACAGTTATNTCCCCCTACCCCCCCCCCCCCCCCCCCCTCGAGTGTTTAGAGGAGGCTAGGAAAACATGGAAAAAGTACTCTATTGCTTTTACAAAATAATTCTCAAAAATACGTGCGAATCTTAAACGTCACAACCTTGTTTACATACTTTCATCTAAACACACCTATCGACCAATGAGAACGCGCGTACTAGCTCAGTTATTTTATAATTACAAATCGCGTCATAAATTGTAAAGATAACACATATCTCTCGTTCAGTGTTCATACCATACCACACCACACCACACCACACGCCGTGCTTTACGTCACACTATCCCATACCTTACCACACCATACTACAGTGTATGTCATTAATTTAGTTTAATTAATGACCTTAGACCCCATGAGCCTCCTGTAGCTCAGTGGTAGAGCATCTGGACTAGAGATCGGAGCACCTTTTCTGAGTATGCCTGTGTCAAAGACATAACGTCACCTTCTGTTTAATTTTTTTTTAGAAAACGTAAATAAACTAAGCTCATTGAAATGAACTGGGGTATTTTTCCATCGATTGGCATGAAAGAAATCCTCCGTTGTCCTATATTTGCTCTCAAGCTTAGTTCATGCATATCTGGTTCCGTAACCATGTTGGTTCCTGGCATGTTGAAATAGCCATTTATCACCAAGGGAAGACTGCCCTAATTCCGGTGTGTCACAATGTCTTTCAAAAAGCACTGAAACAAATATATTTAAACCCCAGTGAGGAGAATTTCTCACTGATATCAAGGGCAAGGATCTAGTAAAGTGCCCATTTTATTTTCTCAATTGAAAGTCTACGTAAAAAAGGAAGTTCTCCGAAAAAAAAATTAACGCGCTAAACATGGATTTGTTCTTATGATTATTTTTAAATTCTACATTTAATTACGATAACAATAATGACTTTATTATCTTGTCAATTACATCTAGCAGTGGAGAATCCCTACTGCTAATAGGGGACACCTAACTAGAACTATCTAAAAACAATATACAGAAAGGTCCTACAAGAGAAATTAAAATTATGAGTTACAAAGATGACAGCCACTACATCCATCTAGGATGTTGCCTAGATCTAGCCTCCGTACTTGGGTCTTAAACTGCTTGAGATTTATCGCCGATCTTTCTTAATTGATGCACCCCTACAGGTGATCAGGAAAGCGACAGAGAGAAGACAACAACAGAGTCTTCTCTTTGCAACAGAGAGAAGATTAGTGCGTGTGGTGTGCCAAAATGGTGGCTAATTCGAGCGTTTTTGAAAAAAAAAAAAATACAAAAAAATTCACGTTTAGTTCAAATTAAATTTATTTTCATAGAAAATCCTGTTTTGGATGTGGAATTTTAGATGACAAAAAAACTATGGGCACTTTAAGAAAGGGTAAACATGTTTAACGAGTCTACCTTGCTACGTGTATGGAGGAACACATGTAGAAGTTTGGGAGATCTTTAAAAGTTGTGGGAAAACTAGCCTCAGGCAAGTATTTCCACAGTCTTCCACAAATTTCCAAAGTATTTTATAACTCTGTAAAACACGGGGATGTAAAAACATGTACCGTGTTTCTATCGAGCTTTAGTATAGATCTACTCGCGTTCTATAACGAATGCCGTTCTCTGATTGGCTACGCTACTCACTACCTGTTCCGTGATAGATAGTGAGTAGCGTAGAGTGTGCCCTTGTTGACAAAATGACGGCCGATTCTTGGAGTTTTCGGACTGTCTGTGAAGAGGATTTAGATGAAGTTTTGAACGACTAGTAGATTTAAACTAAAACAATTAGATTATTCGATAGTTGACTCGGCTGCGCCCTCGTCAACTATCACGCGTTATAGTTCGCCACTAAATATTCTCCGATTCTTATTGGCTTAAACTGATGGGTGACGCGATAGTGTTTATCCGCGGAGAGACACTCTCAGCCCATAGTGCCCGTCCGAGGAAAATACCCGGATGGATAGTACTCATCCGTGAAAATTTTTCTGTAAACAAGCGGGATTATAGAAGATAAACATTTGAAATCGTATTAAGTGGGTTTTTGTCTATTTTCTTTTTCAAATTTTACATTTGGCTGTCACGGCTTTCATCTAAAAAAGTTGAAAATAATTCAAGATGATTTTTGAACTGCCTCGCGGAAGAAAATTTAGTGGTGAATAATAAAGACAATAGAGTGTTTATGTCTCGGAACTGTCGGTCTGATAGTTGCCTCTTGTAAATTTGATGTTCTTAAAACTGGCATATTTGCCCTCGAAGCTTCGCTTCTCGGGCAAATATTAAGAACATCAAATTTCCGCGGGGCAACTATCAGCCGATAGTTCCTCGACAGAAACACTCTATTTTTTAGATAGAAATCTCGAGCTCATAATCTAATTGTTTAATAGAACACGATTTTGAACGAGTTAGCTCGCGTATTTTCTTTAAGACTGTTTTCTAATTCTTTTTGGAAAACTGCGCAGAAAAGGAAGGAACATCACTCGATTATTTTGATTTTCTAAAGGTAAATTTTCTTTGCTTATGCATTGATTAGTACGGCTTCCTTCGCAAGCTTTCTTACAAGGGGTTTTCTAATAAGCTTTGCTGTACAGACGGGAAGGTGAAACAGGTCATTTTGACCTTTTCTCCCGCTGTGCCAGTGGATGTCTCAGGATTCGCACTTATGGCACGTCTTGTGCGCCAATGGCTCCTATAGGGCCATTGTACTGAAAGACGTTTTTGACTTCTTCTGCTCTGCACGGAAGAATCTAAACACACAACGGGACATTAACAAAGCAGATAAATTACACTTTGTTTCTTGAAATTTATAGCAACGAGATACTGCCTATACCGTGCTATAGCAACATTAGCTGTTTGTAATAGATAAAAATCTGCTTACGATAAGATTTCTTGAATGTTGAATATAGGTTTGAAGTCTTACATAGATATGTTTTTATGATATATTTTTCATTGAGACTTAACCACAGACTACAGTTATTTGACATGGCAAGCCTGGAGGTTCATTACACCTTAATTACTTCAAAACCCTGACCCTTCATTTCACGTCCATGTTCTTATATTATGATTTTGCTCACCGGTAACCAGTGCAATATTTAGGGTCCTTTTTTCCTTTCCATCTCAACTATTCTCTGTTTTGAGCAAATTAAGTCCGTATAGTATTGTAACAAGACTGTTTTTCAAAAGAATTTGAATTGTTCCAGAATAAATCAACTTGAAGTTAAAAGACTTAACAGATGGCTGCTATTGTCTTTTTGTAATAGTTCATTAAAGCATTTCTTTTGTGTTTTTGTGATAAAAATAAAGCCAGAGAAAATATATGCATTTTTGGAGTTCCATCAAATGTCATTAATATAACTGCGTTGTATAGCAAAGTTGTTGTTTCGCTAAATGTTTGTTATTCGCTTGTTTTCCTGCCTTTGGTAGACGTTCGACCCGTGAAAATATTGTTGCTTAAATTCGCACAGATATGCCTTCCAAGAGTGGGTAAGTCTAAGATTCTCCACTATTAATTCGGTCTGCAAGCATGAACCGTGCACAACGGTACTTGAACTAACGTTTTTTGATGCACAAGCTTCTTATTCTGCCAGGACACTGCTGCAAGGAAACAGTTATCTCGACCCCTTGAGGTTTCGCTAACGGGGTATCGCTTTGAAGAAATAACGAATAATTTAACCATTCGTCTCAAGTGATAAACAGATACACTTAAATCGAAACTGCTAGAAGTCTATGGGAACTGTAAAACAACTATATATTGCGTAATACTGACTTAACCGGCGTATTCGAGTTGTGTCAGTTTGGCCATAATGAGATTGCTTTTGTCACGATTTCTCTTTGATTTTGTAATCTTGTATTCACTTATTCGTATTAGCACCAGTCACTTAATTGAACGAGTGTATCGCACACCAAACTCTTAAAATCAATATTTGGTCCATATTTGGTCACTAATCTTGTGAGAAGTGCATTAAGCCTTCCGTTGGCCTCAGTTCTTTTTCATTACACAGTCTCATGATCTAAGTTTTTAAACCTGTTTCCTGGCATTAACAAACTGCCTTGAAATGCAGGCCAACGGATAATTGTTCTCGCCCATTCCAATTGCGTGGTCAGAGCTTGGAATAATTTATAACGGGTTTTTAAAGAGAATATTTCAAATTGTGTGAAAACGTTCCTCAGCTTTACCATTTATTAAGGACAAGGTAATACCTTGAAATCAGAAGAAGGCTTGGTACATGATCGAAATCATGTTTACCCATTTTCCGTGGACAAGAAGGAATTCGTGATATGCCAACTTGCGTCAAACTCGAAATCAACTCGTTCATCCATAGAAACACAGAGAAACTGAAAGGTCGGACTGAAGCTGACATTCAAGCTTCAATGGTTACAAATATCGGAGTCAACTATCCGTGAAATCTGTAACAATCACTGATCGTATTTAATTTCTACCACTGAGTGGCCTCTCTAAGTTTCTTTTTGCTGATCGTATTCCTTTTTTTTTTTATCACTAAGTGGTCTCGCTAAGTTTGTTTTTGCCACACGGGGAGCTTTTATAGGGATCCAAAACACCGAACATTGGCAAACTTATGCAAACTACTTTTGTTCAAGCAAAACAGTAATGAAACTACAGCACGCAATTTTTGTCTTTGTTAGTAGATATTAACGCCTCCTGTGAACACTGTCATTCAACTCAATGAATATAATTGAGCTTACTAACATAACTACTTGCATCGATAAAGTCGATGAACATTGCAAAAAACGAACTTCTTTGACGGCAGCACTGGATCCCATGAAAGTTTTCGTCTCAATTCTATAAACGTTCTGTATCTAAGAGCACTTTTACTAGGAATGACTACGAGAAACATTTAGAACAAGGTGCGTCCATGTTTATCCAAGTGAAGACAAACGACTTATTTAGTTGGCATTGTTTTATCAATTACTGAAAGTTGACGAGACGAAAATTTCCTTACAAAACCAAATATAGGTCAAAATTTCGAGCTGTTTTTATTTTAAATACTTTTCTGTTTAATAAATCACTTGGTCGTTTGGGATGTTCGGTCACCTTATCTTTCGCCTCAACTTTCGAAATATGGACACAGGGTTTTTACTTCAGTCGTTCCCCAATTGTTCTTTTGTGGATAGCGGAAAGTTAATATATAAATTGACTCTTTCAGGTGGAAAAATTATGAATTGAACATAGCCAAATAAAGTAAGCCTGTGCCTCTATGTGAGATTTAAGGGAGTTTCTGTAAACGAGAAACTAGTATGTTTTTGCAAGGAGTGAAGAAGAAGAAGAATTAAAAGTTCCAGAAATCCCTTACTAATTACCTAACCCCTTGACTTCATTTCTTAATCTGTCTTAACGATAATTATTTGCTGGAGCTGCAATGCAACAAAGCAAAAGTTGACTCTAATGAGCTAGTTTTTGGTATTTTCTACTCAAGTGTGACAATCGTGTTTTGTTCTCCGATATCGAAACTGTATGTAATAATACAACGTTATAAAAGGAGTGCCGTTGTGGTCAAACTCCAATAAAACCAAAAAATATTGGTTTTACCTTAATTCTTATTTCTAGAGATATTAATTAGGTGAAAATTTACCGATGAAATAACAAGACTAGGTACACGATCGAGATCAGGTTTGTTTATCCATTCTCTGCGGACAAGAAGGAATCTGCAATATGCAGACTTGCGTCAAACTCAAATGAACTCTTTCATCCACAGAAACTTAAAGAAACAAAGGGATAAAAAGAACTATGTGCTAAATTACCAAATCTCACCTCGAGTACCGTTGGAACAAAACGCCAATTCAATTCAGAAAACTCATATTTATATTAATGTTTTGTGCTTGAGATTAACCGGGAAATTCACTGCCTTAGTCCACCTGTTGTCCGACTGAAGCCTTGGAGAGCAAACTTGTACCAAGTAGAAAAACAAACGAAAACAAATGGACCAGAGTAATCATCAATTAAAAATGATGCTCATTTTTGTAATCACCTATTTGAGAAGTAATTGTATAAGAATCCTTATATTCTCTTATTTCTTTTAGTTATTTCTCAATGTTTTCCTTTTCAAGATTTCACTCAGTGTTTATTTGCTTTCTTACTTACCCAGCGATATGAAGCAAGCTTACGAGGATCTAAGGGAACAGTTGTCCAAGTTAAGTCGTGCTCTGAAGATCCTTGAAACAAGAGCCTTGAAACAGACGTTTTCAACGAACGAACTTGCATCAAAAGTAAGTTACTGACAGATAATATACTTTTGTTATAATTGCACCCGTTTATTAATACATTTTTTTTCTTTTTTTTGTTTTTTTTTTTTTTTTTTTACCTGATCAGTATCGGGACTCCTTTTATACACTGAGCATTCGTAACATTCGTTAATGTTCATTTGAAATTGAGTCACTTTCAGTTGTATTTGATCACTCTGTAAGAGATAAAAGAAATAAAATGAAACGTCCTTTTGTATGGGTTAATTCGATGATGTATCGTTAATTATTGTGTTAACGTGTCTGATTCGACTCTACTTCATTGACATTATCGTATCGCTCCTCAAGTACAGCCCATGTTTTCGTCGAAGGCAGGAACGAAAAACACGAACGAGACAAAAGGTTCTGCGGACGAGTATGAGCACGAGTACATGGCTTGCCTTTTAAGGGGGCATATGACGTCATTGGGTGCGTGATGCTTGAATTTGGTCTCATTCACACTACCACGGAGGAGCTTGAGGACTTGAAAACGCAGCTTTATTTTTACGGTTAGGCTCACCGTCCTTGCTAATCGGTAACGAAAACGGAGCTTTCCGAAAACGCTCTCCACACCGGGGGAATTTAAAAACGCTGGGTTTGCGTTTTAAAAGTGAACGGAACATTTTGAAAAAGGACTGAGCTTTTCGAAAACGATGACGTGACGATAATCATGTGATTACCATGCTAGGGGTTTCTTCAAACACAAATCCAAAATGACCGGTAATGGTCTGGTGTTCAAATTCCTCCGGCGCAGTGAGGACGAAAAACATTTGATGCGTTTTCAGAGTGAAACATCCGTTTCCAAATTTTTCCGTCGTGGTGTGCACGGGGCCTTTATTGGCGCAATAGCTGTTATTATAGTTGAGTCTGCAGAATTGACCCGTTCCCCTCGTAGCCATGTTCTTGGGCAAGACACTTTATTCTCACAGTGCCTCTCTCCACCCATTTGTACTGAATGAGTAGCAGCGAATTTAATGCTGG